TAATACCACAGTAAAAACAGTTTGGAACAAATTTGCTCTTGTATCTAGGAATTTGTTTTCTTTTAGATACATTAGCCTTTTTCTTTTGATGATTATGAATAACTTGCTTCTTTTCTACTTTCTTGGTATTGGAACTATTACTAGCCTTTACAAAAACAGTGGGATTGTTACTTGGTTTCTTAGTATTCACATAACCAATACCTCTTTTATCATTTGGATAACGTTGTTGGCTTAGTAATCCTTCCAATCTTATTTGTCCTTTTTCATATCGTTCAATGACTCTTTTCAATTGAACAATTTGAAAGACATTTGATTCACACTTGGAGCATGCAAAGTTTTCCTTTTCTTTAATAAAATTATGTTTTTGAAGATCAAAATCTTTAGTCATGGTGTCAATTTTTTCTAGACAAATTAGAAGTTCTTTTTCTTGTTTTGACACCTTTTTGTATAAACTTTTGCATTCTTTCAAGAGTTCATCAATTGCACCTTGAACATCATCATCAAAAAGATTAAATTCATTACTAACCTCTTCTTCATCGTCGGAGTGATGTGAAGCCATCAATGCTAGATTTGCACTTTCGTCACTATCCGAATCGGATGAAGAACTTATCTCATTATCTTCCCATGCAACATAAGCCCTTTTGTTCTTGAACTCCTTTTTGCCTTTGAATCCATTTTTCTTGGAGAGTTTTGGACAATCCGGCTTTATGTGACCTTGCTTTCCACATTCATAGCATGTGACATCTTGTGTTGATGTGGAGGCTTCTTTATCTTTATGCTTATAAAATTTCTTTCTTTTTACAAAGTTAGCATTATGAAGATTATTTTTATGACCAAAATATTTTCCTAACCTTTTTACAAGAAGCAAGAAGTTTTCATCTTCCTCCGATGCATCTTTATCTTGACTTTCTTTTGAATCAACTTTCAAAGCAATGCCTTTGGATTTCTTCTCATGATTCTCATGTTTTTCAAGCCTTCCAAGTTCCGTCTCATATTCTTGAAGCTTTCCGAAAAGTGTTGCGGAAGTCATAGTTGCTAGGCTTTTCTTTTCAGATATTGCTGTCACTTTTGGTTTCCATTCCCTAGTTAAAGACCTAAGCACTTTAAGATTTAATTCATCGTTAGTTAAAGTCTTACCGAGTTCCTTCAAATGGTTTGTCAAGTGAACGAATCTCTTTTGCAAGTCAAGGATGGATTCTCCGGGCAGCATTCTGAATAATTCATATTCTTGACTCAAAGTGTTCAATCTAGACCTTTTGACTTCGGTGGTTCCTTCATGAGTTTCTACAAGAGTATCCCAAATTTCCTTTGTCGCTGTACATGCCAATACTCGGAAAAATTCATCCATACTAAGAGCACTTTGGAGAATATTGATTGCCTTTTTGTCAAAGAGAACTTTTTTCTTGTCATCGTCATCCCATGATGCTTTAGGCTTTGATGACCCAACACCATTGACAACACACACCAGAGTAAATGGACCATTCTCAACAGCATTCCATATTTCTTTTCCTTGCGCTTCAATATGAGCCTTCATGCGAATTTTCCAAAAGTCAAAGTATTCACCATAAAACAATGGAGGCTTGTTGTTACTACCACCATCTTTGAAAACCGGATTTTGATTTGCGGAAGCCATTCTGGATCTTTAGGAACAAGTTACCTATAACTTGCTCTGATGCCAATTGTAAGTCTAAGAGTGCCTAAGAGGGGGGGTGAATTAGGTATATAAAAATTTATTCGGTTTTATGAGAATACTTGTAGTAATTTGTGGTTAAGAGTTTGAAGGTTTTTGATTATATCTTATCTTTTCTTGATTATGGTGATGAAAACGATAAAAGCGGAAAAGTAAAGAACACGGAGATATATCCTGGTTCCCCTCACAATCCGAGAGTACTCCAGTCCCCTTTCCAACACGAAAGATATTTCACTATAGTTTAGAATGATTGTACAGCCTATGCTTACTATCTAACCTATAGGGTGACCAAAGGTTCTTAACACCTTTAAGGTCAAACAAACACTAATGTGAATGAAGAACAATCCTCTTCAAATCACAACACTTACTTCCAACAATCCTGGATAGTAAGGGAACACCTTTAAGGTCAAACAAACACTAATGTGAATGAAGAACAATCCTCTTCAAATCACAACACTTACTTCCAACAATCCTGGAGAGTAAGGGAATACTTTCTTTTTGTAATACAATGATTTATTTAAAAGAGATGGAGAGCACTATCAATATTTGATTGATCTTCTTCTTCAAGAAAGAAACAATTCTCAAGCAATGATTATAAATGTTCACAATGAATGTATGAAACTTGTAATGATTTCTTAATGAAAATGTATATGGCAAGTTTCACAAAATTTATGATTTGTAATAACACTTGAAAGTTTGTAAGAATATGCAAATTTGAATGATGAAAATTGTTAATTGAAGAAGGTTGTTTGAATTTGAAAATCTGCACAATTTATAATGTCACAAATACCTCTTCATTCATGCCATTTGATATGAAAAGATGCAATGCAATCATGAAAAAATACCATTTGAATTATGTTCAAAAAACAAAAGAAAATATGTACTGGTTCGCTGGGAACCGGTTCCGACCCAGGCAGAACCCGGTTCTTAGTGAATGTTATAACCCAGAATTCAAAAATAACACACAGGAACCGGTTCCCCTATAGGTACAACCCGGTTCCTGGTACAAATTCCAGGGAAGTGATTTTTGAACAAGTTTGGAACTCGGTTCCCTGTTAGGTAGGAACCGGTTCCTGAAAGTTTATTTTCAAAAAATCCTTTTGAAAAAGATCTCAAACATAGTTTTTCTTATTGTTAAAAATGTGGGATATATATATGATTATGAATGCATATTTGTGAACATCTATATTTGTTCTGGACTGGGCCGAGCTGGACCAAAAGCAATGGTGAAGGCCTAACCCAAACGGTCTTGCAAGGGGTCACGCCGACCAAGAGGCCACATCCGTGCCCAATATTCTCTGCTAGTGTGACGTCCTCGTCTTCATGCTACCCTGCTCGACCCCAGCTCGAGCACTCCTCCTAGGGCAGACTCTGTCCACTACACCATCACGTAGATCCCGAAAAGACCGCGTCCTCGTCCGTCCGTACTTCACGCAGAACATCCAGGAAGGGGACCACGTGCAGGTCCCCACTACACACGTAGAACCTGACAGTTCCTCCATTGGGCCAAACCTGCCCGGCCCAATGAAGGAACCTTGGCCCAGCGCTGGGGGCTATAAATACCCTCTGTTCCCAGAGGGTCAGGTATTCATTCTTTTACCCATACTCATACTCTTGCCTGCTCGTGCTCTTACTTACTTCAGCATCAGAGTGCCTTGCAGGTACTGTTGGTGTAAGCCCTAAAGGCCAATACTTTTGGTACTTGTATCGAATTATTTATTAATAATAAAAGGCATTTCTTTATTATGTTTGCTTTCCAAAATAATAAAGTCCCTAGAATGGTTTATTTGTTTAATGAAATGTTAAGTGTGACTTAATCATGAGATCCCATTAAACATAAGACACTATTCTTAAAGTATTCGTAGTCAAGCTTTAATGTGAAGTGGGATAGCATTAAAGCATTAAGATTATTATGAAGATAGATCGATGATCACATCTCATGGATCATAGATAAAGAGTTATCAAGTCTTGACATAGGTATGAATATTAGGAGTAATATTTATATTGGATTGACCCGCTATGAGAATACTACATAGAATGTTATGCAAAGTGTCATTAGTTATTGTTGTACCCCAAAATTTGCCCTCGCATTTTTCCCCAAGCAATCTCAGCTTCAAGCCTTCCCTGATTTTTCAAACTGGCTCAAGAATCGGACAAACGGACTTTTCTTGTCAGTCAAGCGAAATTAGGGTTTTTACTGATTTTCAGGACTCTGGATTGTTTCACAGTTGGCTCATAGTTTTGATTGATTTTGGCTCAATTTTGATCAGGCGAGCGTTATCTGGCATTTAATCAAGAATTAAGGTTTTATGGGCATATTCTCAGAAGGATTTAGATTCCACAGCACTTTGTAGTTTATTCCGGGATTCGGGTTAAATTCGCGTGGTTTTGGTTTAATCAGTAAAAAGGGGACAGTTGGTTTGAATGCACGTTGTTTTGTTTGAGCCCGTCAAAAGAAATGTGCAGTTTGGAATTACAGTGCTTGGCAAAGAATCAGTGAAAAAAGGAATGCGCTTGATCAGTTTATTTTGGTTAACTGCTGCTTTGTTTTGGATATTGGAAAAGACAGGTTTAATTGATCAATTACTAAGACATTGTTTTATTTAAATTATTTATTATTCTAAATTAAGTGATTGAAATTTATTTTTCAATTATTTTAATTCAAAGAGTTTTAAATAAATAAATAAACAATAAAGAAAGAGAATTGGAATTAATTGGGTAATAAAGATTTTATTGATATTTGGATTATTTGTACAAATGTTGTTTATAATTTAAATTACAAACAATAGTTTACATTAATTTAAATATTAAATAAAAAGAAAACTATCCTATTTATTTCTAATTCTTCATTCTTCACTCCGTTTCGGCTCCATTATTCATCTGCAAAAAAAGAAAAGAGAAAGTCAGAAAGCAGTTAAATTGGAAAAGACAGTTAAAATTAGACTCATCATTAAGGGCCACTGACTGGGATCAGTTAACCCTCTCTGCAAATCACGGGATTTTTCCCGGTTCACAGAGAGGGAGGAATTTTTATGCAAAGTTGAAAAAAATGCAAATGTCAAAATGCATAGAATATCAAACTGCATAGTTTCAAAATCTCAAACTTCAAATTCAAACCAAACTGGAAAAATCAAAGAAAAGTACAGTTTGCTGTCACAAATGCCAAAGTCCACTCAAAGATATCAAAGAAGATAAAAAAGGTGCAATTTACTGTCAAAATACAAAGTCTACTCAAAAGCTGTCAAGAGAAGAGTTTGAAAGATATACAAAAGAGAACTCAGTTCAGCAGAGAGAAAGATAGATACAAAACTCAGAAAGCCTGAAGCCTCACATTACTGTCCTGTTCAAACCAAAAACAACCCAATATCCTGTAAAACACCTCAAAAGCCATTACAAGCACATAACATAAACTTACTGTCATAACCTAAACATGCTGAACCTGTCACAAAGCAAAGAAGACTCATAACCTGCTCAAGTTCATACACAACCCTGCCTCAACATAAAAACCTGTCACAAACATATAACCTACAAGCTGTAACCATATATCAAACCTCATCAACCTGCATTAAGCCAGAAGCTGTTAAGCCTCAACATAACAATCTGCCTGAACCACAGTATAACCTCTAGCATCAAAAACCCTCAAGAAGTAAAACCTGCTGAAGCCTAACCTTAAACCAGAAACACCACCTACTGTCAAAACCTCATAGCCTGTACAAAAACCATAACCAACATAACCCCTCAAGCATATCCAAACATAACCCCTCAAGCATATCCAAGCATTCAAACCAACTCCTAAGCCTCAGAATCCCTTCATCATAGGCAGTAAATATTCAAGGCAAACTCAACGAAAATGCTAGGCAACTGTAAGAGAAGATACAGAAGCAAGCAATTGACATATATCAAGCAAGCATTCAGAACCAACCCAAGGCCCTCAGACCTCTAAGATCATCACAGGGCAACATAAACAAGCGTACAGTGGCAAAAAGGGACAGAAGAAGAAGAGGAAAGAAGGATATAACAGGTTTTCAGGCGAATACAAATCATCATAAAACCTAACCAGGGTCACCAAGAGGCGAAGTTTCGTCACGTTCCTCTCGCCGTCCCGGCCTCCTGAGCGCCACGTCCCCTTTTCTCTCCTCCTTCTCCAAGGTCAGGTAGTACATCCTTCTCCCTCTCTTTTTCTCCGTTAGCTCATAACAATAAAAGAATCAAGGTTTTAGTTCAAATCAAAAACGCGTACAATTCATAAAAGAAAAAGGAAACACAAACATTAAAATCGAACCTTGAATCACAAGTCCACTGAGCTATGGAGGGAAGAGAGACTTTGGGGGTGACACTGGTGGCCGGATGGAGGAAGTGCTCAGGAAGATGAAGATGAAAACGACGATAAACGAACACGAACGACGCCGTCCCAAACCCTATGCGTTACCAAACTGAACAACTGAATCCCTAACCCTAAAAATGTTGTTTCAAAACCATGGGCCTGACCCGTTGTAAATTCTCTGAAGCCCATTAGAATGCTTCTTTTCTTTTCCTTTCCAAACAAAAATATTAATAACTCTTTATTTTACAAACAATATATTTATTTTCTAACTAAATGTAGTTTTAATAAAAATACATTCTTAATTAGTATATATCACTTAGTAAAAAATACATCTTTTCTTTAAGCATAATTAAATACTTTTCTATATACATAATTAATTTGAAAACCTTTTAATACATATTGAAATATTTGTACATATCATACCTTTTTTATCATATAATTAAAATTGAAAACATTTTTAATTTAAATATATTTTTGTATATAATAAACAATGATACATCTTATACATTTTTCAATTAGAACTTGAACATACGATTTAATTAAAACATCTTCTTTTGTACATATTAAAAATATACAAATCAAAGATTCCTTAAAACACATATTTAGGTCAAATACCCTAAACAACACTTCAATTTCACCTTTTCGCGCTTGTAAATATCCACATACACATATACTTGTACACTTACAATATATTTCACATTATACACTTACACCATGCAAATCCATTCACATTGCCCTATACACATTTGCTTATCTTATATTTGTATATTCGATATTTACATTTGATTGCGAATTCGATTTGGTTGTAACTTATTTGATACTATAAGTCTCATCCCCATTCATACACTTGTACCCCCACTCCCGGATACTATTTTGTAATAGCGTAGATTTTACATTTCCGCAATTTACAGTTTTCCAATTATACCATGGTTAGACCTAGGGTTTGCATGTACATAAAATCAAACGCTAGATAACCTAATACAAGACAAATACATGTAATCAATACACAATCACACTTGCACCCCCTAGGGTAATCCCACATGTTGCCTTCCAAAATGGGCCATGCTTGCACGTCGAGTATCTTTGGCAAAACAAAATCAAATGATCATAAGTCTCAAAGTGTTGCCTAAACGGAATGATCATAGTCCCTTCAAAGCAAATTGCCAAAGACACTTGGCATCATTGCATTCATGGTTCATACGATGACCCGCGCCCGTCCCGAATAAACTTCCTAAACGCAAGATTGTCCATCAATTTCAATGGTGGAACAAAATTGTTAAAAGGGGTTAAAACATAACAAAAACCTTTGAGTACAATAGGGTAGACAAAACTCTTAGTTACTTGAGATCAACTTGCAAAAACACTTGCCTTCTTTTCAAAAAATCACAATCCACAACACTCTCAAACAAACTCTCAAAAACATTTGAAACATCTTTTCGAAAAGATACACACTTTTGTAAAACACTCAAACACGAGTCAAATACATTGGTCGCCTAAGACAAGGCATCTCTTCAAAAACATTTTCAAAAACACCCACACACACCACATTTTCAAGCAATCGAAAAACAAGGCAAGTGATCTAAAAAACCAAGTAACTAAGAGCCCATGGATAACCATGGATGAAAAGGGTGCTAACACCTTCCCTTTTCATAATCTACCCCCCGAACCCAAGAAAATATCTCAAAAGGTTTTTGTTGTGCTTTTTTAACCTTTCCTTTAGGATAAAATAAAAAGTCGGTGGCGACTCTTGCTCAACCGCACAAGTGCGAATACGAACGCAAAACACTAGTCAGTTCTCCCACCGTATCACAGAACTGGCGACTCTGCTGGGGAGTATTTTAAAAGTGGGGTTACCTTAGGGTTTAGATCACCTTTGTTTTCAATTGATTGCTTTATTTGCTTTTACATTTGTGGGCTTTTGTATCGGAGTTTCATAGATCCTAACCCGGATCTGGGGATACCTTCTTAGAAAGTAGCAACAAGGCTGTGAGGGAACTGTGCGGGGTATACCGACATGGTTGAAGCAGTCTGCTACGTTGATGTGGCACTTTGGTGTGTACCGGTAACCCTTGAGTTCAGTCAAGGAGAGTACGGGGCCGCCGCGTGGTGTCGTGAAGCATCAACTGACCTTATGAACCTTAATTGAACCATCTTGGCCTTTTTTAGGGTAGTGAGATAACTGACTTTGGTGCAGTCCGTGGTTGGTTGATACTCGATACTACACTCAATTGAGGGTTGCTTTCCTGGAATATTTCGGTCGCCAGTTCAGTGGCTAAATCGAAACGATGAACAATGAAAGTAATCCAGTGATATTGGGACCCTTAGAACCCGGTTACTTCTAATAGGACAGGTTGAGCCCACCAACTTCAAGAGGGTAGTACCCAGACCCCATGCAAGCCTAAACCTAAGGACTTGTTTGCTGTGTGTGAATATGTTTGCCTGTATATACACTCACTTGCTTTCCGCATACATGTGCATAACATCATGACATCATACCACAGCATTTTCAATAACCATTTCAAGGATCTCGAGGGTTCTGTTGATGCAGGGTTACATTGAACCAGACGTCTATCAAGGGGCAAGAGGGTTCTCCTCTAACCAATGCCAACCAAAGTTCAAGTACAACAACTTGAATCAGTGGCTATGACCCACTCGACATGGTGAGCTTGATTCCCGTGGAAAGGCATCCATCGATACAAAGTTATCCAGTCAAAGATCAAGTGCAACAACTTGAATCAGTGGCTATGACCCACTCGACATGGTGAGCTTGATTCTAGTGGAAAGACATCCACCGGTGCAGAGATCTCCAATCAAAGACTGAAGTTCAACCTCTAACATTTTCTTGTGTTTACCCCGAGAGATCCTTGAAAGCATGCATTCACATATCATGCATAGCATCATAACAATCTTTCCTTTTCAGGTTTCCTTACTCTCCTACTGTTTATTTCAGTAGAGATGGCTCTAGAGCAGACTATCAAGGACCTTCAGGCTCAAAATGCTCAACTTCAAGAGATGTTCTTGAACCTATCCAAGGGACTAGAAGAGGTCAAGGCGGTCCTAACCAGGGATATGATCATGGGACTTCCTGAGGACGACGGGGACAACTGGTTGGGGCCATGAATTGAGGTAGCCATACTGAAGGGGCAACTGGCGAGTCAGATGGATTTTATCCAAAATCTGGCACAAGGACAAGAGGAGCTTAGGGCTCTCGTCAGCAAACTGCTTCGGGACAACCAAGTAGGACAAACAACTGGGGCTGAGGATCAAATCATCATTCCTCCTTTTCTGAGACAAGAAGACAAGGGAAAAGCTCCTCAACATGTTGCGGGGTCACAAGCCCAACCACATCTCACGCCTGTTCGACAAAGGCAGGGGCATCAGCGTGAGAAGGTCGCACCTAAAAGACAATTCACCAAAATCAACATGTCACTGGGTCAAGTGCTACAACGCATGTTGCAGGCAGGGTTGATTACATTAAGGGTCCCCCATCTGAACCCTAATACTTCTGCTCCAACCTATCATCCCAATAGGAGGTGTGCATACCACTCCTATGGTCCTGGACATGACACCGAGGACTGCTGGGCCTTGAAAAACAAAACTCAGGATCTGATTGACAATGGAGTGCTGAAATTCATGCCGGATGGCGAGGTGAAGATCTTCCGTTAAGGGTACCTCCACTTGAAGTGACGAAGCTCGAACTGAGAGACTTCTGTTCATTTAACTTTCCAGTTGTAATTTCTTTTGCTATTCGAACAATTATCCTTTGATGTCAAACTCTGTTTTCATTAATGCATTGCATATGTTTGTCTTGAATTCATCCATTCGTTTCACTACTCTTATGCTTTTCTTTATGATATTTGACTCTTGATAAAAAGTTGTAAGCCTTTAGAGGGAGGATGACGAAACAATACCATGATCTTATACAGTATGCTTTTGAACAGACCTTGCTGATGATATACAGGCATTTCTTTCAATTCCCAAACACTGGAGTTATAAGGAAATTAATCCCTAGTCAACCCCTTCGAGCCAAAGAAGTAGGAGTTTTCTGTTCTAAACAATCGAAACCTTTGATATAAACCTGGGGCAGGGTAGTATCTCAGTTAATTCAAGAGAAAATGCGCATTGAAGTCGCAAACTCTCAATTCGTAACACAACGAACGACATCGAAAAAGAAAGCATTCCCTCGGAGTCAAAAGACAAGGGTGGTTCCCTATCATATAGACAGTCAATCTCTCAAAAAGAGAAAAAGCCCACTGATCCAAAACCTATAAAGGAGGCTTAAGAAATATGGGGCATCCCGCTGACTGTAATCCCGGAAAACGGTAACAGTCAGGCAAAAGTTAGGGATAACAAATCAAAATCAAAATAGTGAGGTCATTACAAA